CCGCCCCGCGCCCCAAGTTTGAGGAAGGGCCTGCTGGCGCCTGTCAGCCAGTCCGCGCCCAGGACGCGCCCAGGCTCGCTCTGCTCCTGGCTTCCCGGGGGGACCCTCCGACCCACACCTGGAAAGCAAAGAGTTAAGCTAGGGGGGAAAGGGTCCCGAGGAAGTAGACCTTTCGGAAAAGCAAGGCCGCTTGAAGTTCAAAAGAATTGTATTCCATCTCCAGTCTAACCTAAATCCCCTAGCTGCAGGTCGCCCCTCTTGTAGTACATCTGATGTTGGGAAACTAAGCACGTGATTCCAGAGACCTTTTCTGGCTGGAGCCAGTTTGTGACAGGGCCTGGACCGGAAACCAGCCGCCCCTCAAGTACGTGGATGGGTGCGGCCCCCCAAAACCCGAAGTTCCACCGTGGAAGGTGGGGGAACCAGGGCCAAAGCGGGACTTGACCAATGCTCTCTGCCCACCCAGTACCTGCCGCCACCTCTTAGGTGCCCAAATGATGCCCTACAGCCCAAGGCCTAAGATGCCTTATTTGCCATTGCCATCAGATCTTCGGATTTACGAAGCCGCCCAGGACGTGGTCACCAGAGGGAAGTTTTAGTTCTCCTTGCTGTATCTTGCAGAGAGTTTCCTCGAGGTTCCACGGGTGTCTCTGGAAGCCGGAAACGCAAGGTGCCCAGACGCTGGGCCTCGAACCCAAGAGGTAGGGCGGATACCTAGGTGCAGACTAAATGGCTGAACTCGGACACACCCATACCACCGGCTCCCCGGGGCTGGATGGGGACACCCACTGGCCAGAGCTCTGGAGACCACAGACGCATCCCTCTAGCCCAGCGCCCCCGCCGGCTCACCAGAGTACTGCATTCTAAGGTGAGTCGGAGCCGCTATTGACACAACTGTGGAGTCCCCAGGTTAAGTCCTGAGCGACCCGATGGAGAAGTTGCACTGGTGTGAAAGACCTAGAGCAGCCAGCTTTTCACGGATGCGCTCTGCTAGAAGGCAAGCCTGGCCCGAGGCGCACCTGAAAGCACCTCTCCTCCCATGGTCCTTACCTCTCCACGAAGAAAGCAGCGTTCCCCTTTTAGATAATCAGACCGAGGAGTTAAAGACAATCCACGCTCAACTATTCACATTTTCGGAAGCCTTTCTGAGGGTGAATTAGCTGAAAAGCAAGGAATTGCTACCGCAGGAATTTCGGGCACCTGTGAGCTCAGGCACTCATCTATTGGCCCTTAGTCTTAAACTCAGCGCGAAAGAGGAACGCGTTGCTGATGCACGCTCTGAGCCGTGTGCTTGCGGTCCATTGGAAACGAACTCTCTCGTCAGATCTGGAAAAGTTTTGGTTTGCAGCCTTCCAACCTTTTTGATTTTATGTTAATCACATGATTCTCCTAAGACTGCGACATAAAGTCCAAACGAGTTAGATTTTTGTATATTAATAGAAAACCACCTGTAAGGATGCACACGGTTACATCGGATGTGGGATAGGGGCGTCGGAAAGAGAGAAGATGAATTTTAGAACCTTACTGACTTTGAATTTTGTATTTTTCCAGTTATATTAACTTTCATAATTTAGGAAGCTAATAAAACACTTTTAAAGAAATATAGAAATTAGAAAATCTGTAAGATCTCTACAGAAAGTATAAATCATAAACAAACAAAACCTATGTCTTTCATTTTGTGTCAAAATAATTAAACACAAGTCTGCGTACCTTGGTTTAAATAAAGATATCTTTAGGTGGCTGTTCTTTAACTGATGGAACAAGATTGACATCTGAAGATTTTTCTGTGTCTTCAAATTGGTATATTGTTTCTGTGCATATATGTCTTTCCTTTAAAAGCACTCCTCATAGCCACAGACATACTTTCAGACTGCCAGCCAAGGAGTTTTTAGTCAAATAACTGCTACAATGTCAGCTAGCAACCAATAAGAAAGTTAAGATTATGTCCTTTGCAGCTGCCAAAAGATACCCAGGCCCTGAAATTCAAAAAACAATAAGGGCATTCTCTCCATCATGCTATTAATTAATGCAGCTGGGCATGTATCTGTAACAGTTTTACTGTCTTTGAGGGCTAATTCCACACCCACTTGAGAGTAATATCTACTCTTGGGTTGGGGCCTGGGTCCTTCATCATTAGGTAAAGATATATTATTAATATGTTGAACAAATATGGGTTGACCGCCTACTAGATACACAGCACACTGCTAGGCAGTGGAGTGGTCAACATAGCAGAAACACTTCCCTCTTGGAGCTCACAGTCTAGCTGGAGAGAGAAGGGGCTTAACAATTAAATGCACTATCAATTACATAATTACAATTGTGTTAAGGGCGAAAGAGAGTACAAGGTGACAGGATCATATGGGGAGTCCAAGAGGAGGGGGTGACTAACATCTGAGTTGAGCTGAAGGGTGGGCAGGATTTATTCAGAGGAAAGTGGAACAGAGTTTCTGGCTGGTTCAGGGTACAAAGGGAAATGAGGCCGAGGGGGAAGCTGGAGAGATAAGCAGAGGCTAGATCATGCAGGTTCTCTATTACCATCTTCAATAAGTTCGCAGACTACAATGTGAAGAAGGAATAGGGAGAGGGGGCAGTGGGGTGGAGGGGCAGTTTAGAAGACCGTTGCTATAACTGAAAGGAGTTGTTTAAGCAGTAGAGCAAACGGAGAGAAGTAAACACCAACAAGACTTGGTGACTGTTTAGATAGGGAAGAATCAAGGAAAACGCCCAGGTTTCTGCTGCTTCAACCAGATAGATGGTGGTACAATTTTCTGAGTTGGGGAGCCCTCAGGGAGGAGGGTTGAGAAAACCTTCCCAAAGTTTACATTTGGTCAAAGTGAGTTTGAGCTGCCTATGAGATGTCCAAGTGGAGATATTCGGTTGGTTGTAGGGTCTGGTGCTCTTAGGAGAGACTGGAGTTGGAATGGCTGGTGTAGAGGTGGAAATAAAACCAGGTGGTCTCCTAGGAGAATATAGAGTTCAACCAGAAGAGGGCCTAGGACTGAACCTTAGAAACATCTGTCTAAAGACTAGACAGAAGTAAAGTATCTGGCAGAGTGGGTAGAGGAGCAGCCAGAGAGACAGAAAGAAAACTAGGAGCTTGGAAAAGTGAGGTCACAGAGCCCAGAGCAGAACGTGTTATAAGAAGGAAGCAGTAGTCAACAACATTCAAAACGGCTGAGAGACACAAGGGAAATGACTGAATAACTTGCACTGGATTGAGTGACCTTGGTGCCATTAGGACTTTTCCAGAGTACTGTCTGGTGGAGTGAAGGAGTGAGAGCGAGACTAAGAGCACCGAGGAGTGAGTGAGAAGTGAAGAAATGAAGAAAGGCACTGAGTATAAGCAACTCTTAAAAGGTTTGACTGTGAAGGGTCAGAGAGATAAATAGCTGGAGAGGAATGTTATTTTAGTTTACATATTTTCATTATTTTTTTAGGATGGAATAATTTGAGTGTGTGTAAGTGCAGATGGGGAGGATCCTACAGAGAAGAAACAGATAAAGGTACAACAAAAAGAGGACAATGGACAATAAAGTTTCCTGTGACCATGGGAGGGAATGGAACCAGAGTATGGGTGAAAAGACTAACCTCATGCAGTAGACTACCTCTCTATTATAACAAGAAGGTGGAGTTTGGAGGATGACTGAGCCAGTCAGGTTTGATGTGGAATACTGAATCCTTTCTCTTACTCTATAACATACAAGAGACTGGGGGTGGTAAGGAGAAATGAAAGATTCGAAGAGAGTAGAGGTTTGACACATCCTTGCAAAAAATGGGAGGGTTAAGATGACCAGAGAACATGGCAATCCACTTGAAGTGGGTGACTTGAACTTGTAAGGTGCCCATTGGCCCTCCTATGCGATTTCCTTCAGCAGAGCTCAGCTGTCTGCTCTGGTGCAGGCTCAGGTGAGAGAATTGCAATGGCAGAGGAGAAAATTGGGAACCCTGCAAAAGTGAGGTTGACACAATGCATGATCAGAGAAAAAGGACAGAAGTCAATGAGCTGGAGGGATCAACAAGGTCAAGGCTGAATCACACTGGAAGAACAGGGAATTGGGTCAGAGATCCGGCTGCTTAAGTTAGTGGTTCAGGAAGTGGAGAAGTTTAGGGCTATGACAAAGCCAAGATGTGTTGGGGAAGGGTAGAGGAGAAAGTCACTGGGGAATATGAGGTCAAGGGATTGAGAGGCAGGATACTAGATGGGTCATCTGTGTGAACAGTGAAGCTATCCAGGATGTGAGCAGGAATTTGCGTCATGGTGTGAAGACCACAGAACTGGGAGCTAAAGTTGTAAGAGAGTAAGGAAGAGGGAGTGACCCGGAGGTGAGAAGATGGGAACCACTATGGCTAGGTGGCAGCCTCTTCAAAGGAATAGGGTGTTTGCAATAGGGGGAAGAGAAATGATCGGGGAGAGAGAAATCATCTCACTTCCGGGCCCTGGGGGACACAGAAGTGAAAGAGTGAGAGCCTCATCTCCTACTGCTGCAGGGAAAGCAAAGGAGGTGAAAATTTCATTCTAAGCTGACCTTAAGGATAGATGGATAGACCAATGCATGGATCCATGAACCGCCCTTTGATTCCGTTTGGTTGTTGAAATCTGCAATCCTAGAGGCTCACAGAAAAAGATCTTGAAGGGAGGAGTGAGGAGAGAGAGGGAGGTCAGGTGCCAAGAAGAGCAGCGTATTGTGGGACGATGGCAGGACAGAAGATCTTTTAGGGAATAACAGTAGAAATAAAAATGAATGATGTTGATTTTGCCCCAGGTGTCTTTATGAAGGCTGACAGAGTAGTTCTGCAAACCAGGGCCATACACCCCTCACACTCTCCTCCCAGAGATTTCCATCAGGGAAAGACACGTGGAAGCCTCCCCACCTAATCCTCTCTTCTCCACTGAAGGCTTTGTTGTCACCAAATGAGCCCCTGTGGGACCCTGGCGGTGAATCAGAAATCCCAGGCTTATCTCATCTCTGCTACTCACTTTCTTTCTTCCTCAGACAGGTTACTGACCTCTCCTGTCTCAGTTTCATTGTCTGTAAAATGAGGATGCTAAAACACACACACCTCTCAGGGCAATTATAAGGAGTGGAGAAGATAACTTAAGTAAAAGCACTTCCTAAACTGTAAAGTGCTATAGGAATGTGAGTGATTTCCCTTGTTCAGAACCCTACCCACACACCCACATCTCTCGCAGAAGCCCTTCCAAAAAGATTCTGAATTTCTGCTCCAGAGGAAGCTGTAATCTTGCCCCAGAGACAGGACAAACACACCCAAAACAATTAGGGAGAAATGCACAGCTGTGTCTGATTAAGTGCTAAATTGTAAGGTGCAGAAAAGAAGAGCTCTGAGATCAGAAAAGAGAACAATTAGCCAGAGTTGGGAAAGTCTGGGAAGCTTCCTGGAGAAGGTAGGATGAAAGGTGCCCAGACCGCTCACTCATCTTAAGCAGAATATTTGCAAAAATGCCCATTCCTTTGTGGCTGCAAAGACAGTCGATCTGACAGTCTGACATGGGTCTACAAAAAGTTTCCAGGTCACAGATTTCTCTCTTGGCATCTCTGTTTGCCAGCCTGTTGTCTCTCCTATAGCCCTGCCCCCTCTCAATCCCTCTAGGTGGCTGGGCAGCCTGGGCTACCCAATAAATTCTACATGCTTTGCCCTGGGCCTCTCCTGTTTGGGTCTTTTCTTTGTCATCCGTTTTCCTGGTGAAGAAATAGAGATTAATCTTTAGCAAGTTTCCTGTGCCTCTTTGGTGCCAGCACACACCTGGCATTTTTGCCTAGCCAGGCTGCAGGCTTTTGAGCAAGCAGTCCTGGATGCTCCTCCTTCTGCTATTTGCCTCACAGCACCTGGCCAGCCTAGGGCACCTGCACATCCATCTACAAAGCCCTGAACCACCTCCCACACCTGTCTCCTTTGCTTTTTATTGCCTCTGCCTCATCATCCAAGAGTACCCACCAACCCACTATTCAGATACAGGCCCTATGGAGCTGCCACACCAGAGCCCAGGAGCTACCATATCAAAACCCGAGACCTGCAAGCCCAGAGCTGGCTTCTACATCCTTGGTAGTATTGAAGCCAAATCCTGCGACCCTTTGGACATGGTTCAGAATGAAGGTCTTCTTCTCCAGTGACTAGCCACATAGTCTGATTAATGCTTCAGCCCTGTAGCTCTCTCCTCCCTTCACCATAGGCCTGGAAAAGTGTCCAGCATGCCATAGGGCCAAGTGCACAGCATCAGCAGCACAAACCCCCAAATCTCATATATGCTATGGACTTAAATTGCTTCAGGATAGCAGTGTTTTGCTAGTTTGTTAATCAGTCCCAGATGAGGCCATGAAAACAATAGCTGCTTCTGTCGATGGCTAAAATATTAATTACTAATGGAAAGTGTGGAAACTTGGCACTGAAATTATTTGAATTCCAGTCTCAATTCCTTGGAACTTGCAGATGAGAAAAAGAAGGCCCCAAAAGTAGCTTTCTGGGGGCCAAACACCTGATACTAGAGATAATATCTTGAATGTTGAACAATTAAGTTGCGGGTTAAAAATTAACTGGCTCCTAAAGCAAATCCTTTCCCCCAAGATGACTTTGACTTTGCAACAGCAGAAAAACATAAAACCTTATTATCAGATGACAATACTATAAAATAATATCATGATTCCCAGGGGATTTGCTCTATATCCCACAGAGTCCTGATGATGGAAGAATTCAAGATTCCCAGCTTAGTAAAGTCCAGCTTATATATGACATT